GCCGAAGACGGCGGTGGCAGCCCGGGGCGGGCGAGCACGGCGGGTGCCTCGGCTCCGACGCGGGCATGCCAAGCGTGCCTTTTCCTCCAGCTTCTCTGCTCCGAGTTACCCATTAACCAAGAGCTGGGCCCAGCCCGGCCGAGCAGCCCGGCTCCGTGCTGCCTGCTCGCTTTTCCGGGTGCGGAGAGGCACCATTTTTCCAGTGGATGCTCCATGATATGCTCCGGGCCACCAAAAGGCCTCAGATGGGAAGAGCCCTGCTGTGATCCCTTCGCAGCAAATGGGCCCCAGCAGTCACACAGGAGCCGTGGATGAGGGAGGAGGACGAGCAGTGTCACCTGGACGGGGCGGACAGGACTTTAGTCCATATCTTCCTCGCGGCGCTGACGCATAGCCCAGGACTGTTTGTCAATACCAGACACTCCTTGCGGGATGGGCTCCCAAGCCATGTGTCAGTCGGAGCTGGAGCTACGTCCCCGGGTGGGTGGAAGCCCGAGGCAGCCCCGCAGCAGCGGTGCTTTCTGGCCGGGATCATGGGAGCGCTTTCCATCGTGCGCTTGCAGCATGACCCGATGCTGCGGATTTGCCCCTGACTCCCAGGCTGGATTTCCAAGGGTCTCACCCAGTATTTTCACACTTCCCACACTCCCTGCCTTTGGCCAGGCATCATCACGTGCCAAGACAGGGGAGAAACATCCCTGGAATTGCAGTCAGCTGCAGCACAGCCCATGCTGCTTTGGGAGGAAAAAAGCTCGTTCAAAACCCCAGGGGTTTCTCCCTGTCAAGGCGGGAGGGCTCGGGTTGCCGGTGGCACCGTCACCCCTACACGGGACGGTCCCGGTGACCACAGCAGCGCCGGGGAGGATGCTCAGGCATTGCTGCAGCAGCCCCGTGTCCCTCCTCTCCTGCCCTTCCCGACGCAGCCCCGGCCCTGCCGGCTGCAGGCGACGGCGCTGCCAGCCCCGGCGCCAGCGAAGCACCAGCCAACCCGCACTGCAGCAAGACCCCTCGCACGCAGGGCCTCCGGAGCAGCGCGTGCTGCTTGGGAAGGGCCCACGGGCTGGGCGTTGTGCTGGGCGTAGCAGCAGTGAAAGCAGGTGGAAGGCAGCTTGGCCAATAAATATATAAATAAATGCAGACAAGTCACCCAGCCGATTGCTCCAGCACTTCCCCGAAGCGCGCAGGGCCCGGAGCACAGGTGCAGCCAAGTCGCCTCCCTGCGGAGCGGGAGCTAGAGGGAGGCGAGGATGGAGGCGCCCGGGGGCCCGCAGGTTGCCCGTGAGTCACAGGGATGTCATGCAGCCCCCGTGAGGCTCTGATGAAAGCCCCACCATTGCTCAAACCCCAGCAATAATTAGATGATTCCTCTCCCCTCCAGTGGGGCTGTTCAAACCCAGCTCAGATAATTATGACATCGGGCTTTGATCTCCTTAAATGCCACTTGTATGGAAATTAAGCTGGGATTTTTATATCTATATATGTATATATTTTCTTAATCTATCTAGTGAAATCAGGCTCTGTGATTCATGCGTGGAGCCGCCAGGGCAGCCTGGATCTACCGCCAGGCATGGGGCACCCCTGGCGCTGCCCTCGCAGCAGGGAACCCGTCGGGCCGGTACCGCTGGTACCTCCATTTGTTTGCCCGAACCCGTCGGGCTTGTTCCGCCCGTCGGAGGGACTGGCCAGCTGAGCGTCTGGAGAGCCGGTGGGTCTCCGGACCCACTGCTCGCCCTGGTGCGGCCGGCAGAAACGAGGTCACATGGTGCCCACGGCACCAAAAAAGAGGGGAAAAAAAGAGGAAAAAAGAAGAAAAATAAAGTAAAAACAAAACAGAAAACAAAAAAAATCACAAGTGCAAACAGAAAGGAGGGAGAGTAGCATGGCCGGCCGGTCAGTGCCCTGTGCTGGGACGTCCCGCAGGGGCAGAGCTGGAGGGAAGGGGGAAGGACGAGAAGGAAGCCACGGCGGCCCTTGCATCGAGGTGGCAGCGAGGAGCTTTCCCTCTGGCCGGGCGCTTTCTCTTCCGTGGGGCTGGGAAGGCTGTGGCACTGAGTCATGACAGCAGGGATGGGTGATGGTGCGGCTCGGTGCCTCTCCCCGGCGACAGGTTCACGTACGGCCCACAGTGCCCCACGGGCCTGGCCGTGCTGGGGCCTGAGGCTGGTGCAGGGCCACGCGTCCTCGTGCGGAGGCCCCCGCGCCCCCGGAGGTGCCAGCCAGCAGGAGCGGGGCCGGGCACACACACTGTGGCTCTGCAGGCACCCAGGAGCTCTGGCACCGCTGTCCTGAGCACCCACGCTGCTGCTTGGGGCGTGGATCCTGCACAGCCCCCTGCACCCCGGGCCCCGTGGATGCTGCCCCATGTCCCCCTGTGCCCTGCAGACGCCAGCGTGCGGGCACCCGGCCCCGCAGGTACCTGCTCATCGGCGGGCTCCAGCTCGCCCACGTAGTACTGCTCG